TTTTTTATGTAAAGCACTTTTAAAAATAATCTAGAAAAATAATATATTATATATTTAAATATACATACATACACACACATATACATACATATATATATATATATATATATATATATATATATATATATATATATATATATATATATATACTAGCTGCATCCCGTGCTCCGCAGCGGTAAATCTTTTTTAAATGTACCAACTTGGGAACAGTACAAAACTAAACACAACACAAACGAACGCAAAAAAAACACAAACGAAAAAACAAACACAACACTCATAACATTAAAACAATTTAAATGCAATCATAAAGGCGTATTGCTCACAGTCTAGCCCGTAGCGCCAAATCGCCCCGTGATTTGCACCCTCCTGAAACTTTCGATTTGCACCCCTGGCCCCCCCCCCCCGCCCTAAAACTTTCGATTTCCACCACCCTCCTCGCAAATTTTTCCAACCCACTTTGGCGCCCCCTAAGGTCGGCACCCGGGGACATATGTCCCCCCCCCCCTCGCTACGCCCCTCCTATAAAACCCCTAGCTTGTCCGCAAACCGAAAGATAGAATAATAATTAGTAAACAGTATAAATAATAGGCAGTATTTAAAATATCCGTGTTTTACCTACAATATTTCACTTTATCCATTTACGCATTTTTTTCCCAGTACTTTAAATTTTAAAAATTTACAATAGAGTTTCATAACTAAAACCATTGCGCACCTAATGAACTTGATGACGCGTCTATAATAGTGCTGAGTAGTTGATTAAAAATTATAAGTAATAAACAGTAGGGCCTACATTCAGTGAATAAAATAAATAGAAGATTGCCTTTTATCAATCCATGCTAATTATAATTTTCAAACAATAATTTCCCTTTTACATATCCGCATAATTTGCATTCACATTTTGCTAATTATATTATTGCAACACTAATTCCTTCTATGACGAACGTATATTTGCATTTTTTATTAGCGTGAGTTTAATGTATTTTTAAATTACCCCCTTTGTCAAAATTAGAAAAAAGAGTTAAATTAATTTGATTTTTCTACCGTACTGTTATTATGTTATTGAAATGTATCCACTTTTTCTGGGAATATAAACGAAAATGATATTTGACATTGATCTTTTTAATATGTGTTAGCAATGTGCGTGTATTTAATATTTTCTTTACGTTATGCAAAAAAGTAAAAACAGTGGCAATTATAAAATAGCTATATGCCGTTATATAAACAAACCCTACTCTATCACTTATAATAAGACACTGCCGTGCACTGAAAAGCACAGCATGGTGCGATGTTTACTTTTATGGTTCCAAAAGCTATAGCGATGACAGAAGGACTGACACACGCTCAGCCCGCTTGTATTATATTATATATATACTAGCTGCATCCCGTGCTCCGCTACGGTAAAGCTTTTTTAAATGTACCAACTTGGGAACAGAACAAAACTAAATACAACACAAACGAACGCAAAAAAAAAAACACAAACGAAAAAAAAACATAAACACAATTCAATTTAAATGCAATCATAAAGGCATATTGCTCACCCCCCTCAAACTTTCGATTTGCACTCCTGTCCCCCCCCCCCGCCCTAAAACTTTCGATTTCCACCACCCCCCCCCCCCTCGCAATTTTTTTCCAACACACTTTGGCGACCCCTAAGGTCGGCACCCGGGCACATATGCCCCCCTCCCCTCGCTACGCCTCTCCTATAAAACCCCTAGCTTGTCCGCAAACCGAAAGATAGAATAATAATTAGTAAACAGTATAAATAATAGGCAGTATTTAAAATATCCGTGTTTTACCTACAATATTTCACTTTATCCATTCGCGCATTTTTTCCCAGTACTTTAAATATTAAAAATTTACAATAGAGTTTCATAACTAAAACCATTGCGCACCTAATAAACGTGATGACGCGTCTATAATAGTGCTGAATAGTTGATTACAAATTATAAGTAATAAACAGTAGGGCCTACATTTAGTGAATAAAAAAATAAAAGATTGCCTTTTATCAATCCATGCTAATTATAATTTTCTAACAATAATTTCCTCTTTCACATCCGAATAATTTGCATTCACATTTTGCTAATTATATTATTGCAACACTAATTCCTTCTATGACGAACGTATATTTGCATTCCCATTTTTTATTAGCGTGAGTTTAATGTATTTTTAAATTACCTCCTTTGTCAAAATTAGAAAAAAGTTAAATTAATTTGATTTTTCTACCGTACTGTTATTATGTTATTGAAATGTATCCACTTTTTCTGGGAATATAAATGAAAATGATATTTGACATTAATACTTTTAATATGTTTTAGCAGTGTGCGTGTGTTTAATATTTTCTTTACATTATGCAAAAAAGTAAAAACAGTGGCAATTATAAAATAGCTCTATGTCGTTATATAAACAAATCCTACTCTAATTCTTATAATAAGACACTGCCGTGCACTGAAAAGCACAGCATGGTGCGATGTTTACTTTTATGGTTCCAAAAATTATAGCGATGACGGACTGACACACGCTCAGCCTGCTTATATTATAGATAGTATATATATATATATATATATATATATATATATATATATATATATATATATATATATATATATATATATAATATAAGCGGGCTGAGCGTGTGTCTGTCATCGCTATAGTTTTTGAAACCATAAAAGTAAACATCGCACCATGCTGGATACATATTAATAACATAATAACAGTACGGTAGAAAAATCTAATTAAACTGCTTAGTAATTTTACCATTGGAGGTAATTCAAAGATAAATTGAACTCACGCTAAAAATGTGAATGCAAAATCTGCAAGACGGAATAATTGTTGGAATAATATAATTAGCAAAATGTGAATGCAAATTATGCAGACGTGTAAGAGTACATTATTGTTGGAATATTATTATTAGCATTGATTGATAAAAGGCTATCTTTTATTTATTTTATTCACTGAACGTACTGTTTACTAATTATAATTTTTAATCAACTATTCTCCATTACTATATTAAGTCATCACGTTCATTAGGTGCGCAATGGTTTTAGTCATGAAACTTTATTGTAAATTTTTAAAAGTACTGAAAAGAAAATGCATGAATTTATGAAGTGCAATATTGTCGGTAAAACACGGATATTCTAAATACTGCCTTTAATTAATTTGCGGAAAAGCTATGGGTTTTATAACAGAGGCGTAGCAAGAGGGGGGGAGGGTGGAAATCGAAAGTTTGAGGGAGGTGGGAGGGTGTAAATCGAAATTTTCCGCCGGCGCTCGGAAAGCGCGCGATTTGGCGCTACGGGATAGACTGTGAGCAATATGCCTTTATGATTACATTTAAATTGAGTTTATGTTGAGTGTTGTGTTTGTTTTTTCGTTTTTGTTTTTTCTTTGCGGTCGTTTGTGTTGTATTTAGTTTTGTTCTGTTCCCAACTTGGTACATTTAAAAAAGATTTACCGTGTGTTGTGGTTGTGGTTGTATTGTGGTTGTGGTTGTGTTGGAGTTGTGTTGTGTTTGTTTTGTGGTTGTGTTGTGGTTGTGGTTGTGTTGTGGTTGTGTTGTGATTGTGTTGTGGTTGTAATGTGGTTGTGTTGTGGTTGTGGTTGTGTTTTGTTTGTGTTTGTGTTGTGTTTTTGTTTGTTTTGTTCTGTTCTGTTCCAAAGTTGGTATATTTTTAAAAAATTTACCGTGGCGGAGCACGGGATGCAGCTAGTATATATATATATATATATATATATATATATATATATATATATATATATATATATATATATATATATATATATATATATATATACATATATAAACTACTTCATTGTTAGCAAAACAATATAACATCATTTACACACTTTCAAAGTGCATGTATGTTGCTATTTAGCAATCATATTTTCATTAAGGTTTTGTCAAATGTCTCAGTGTTCATCTTATATTATGGACATGTAAAAAATAAACAACGTATTATTATTCTGTGTTTTCACGTTTTATTCAGTATTTTTATGATCTATGAAATTATATCTACAGTACATATATTACTTATCGATAAGTATTATAAATATATAATTTTCACATTACGTCACTAAATCGTGTTAATTATAAATGTAGTATTTTTTTCTAAATGATATAAAACCATTATGTAAAATATCTATATGTGTACTTTTGTATCACATTCACAATCCTTACATTAGATACTAAGTTAAATCAGCCAGCACAATTTTTGTAAAAGTGTATGCGTTTTGCTTTTCTTTCCTGTATTCATTAGATAGTTACAAAAAAACAAAAACAAAGACCTGTATTAGAGTTACAAAATTACAAACAACAAAGTAAAAACAAATGTATTCTATTTACCATTAAATTTCGCATTCATGTTAAGAATTGAAAACTTACGTTAAAAATAAAATAAAAGAAAGTAACATTGTTCGAATGTATGCTTTTAATAAGTTTATTACATATTAAAAAAGATAAATATTAGTCTGTACACAGCCACATATACCAGTAATCTATATACGGCTGCATATATCGTTAGTGTGTACACTGTTGCAGATAGCGAGAGTGTGTACAAAGCTACAGACAACCGTAGGCTGTACACGGCAATATATAGCGCTAGTCCGTACACAGTTACATATAGCTGAAATCTGTACACTTGTTCAAACAATGCTGTAGTGTAACAATTTATATAGTCCCAAAATAATATCCGATTTAACCGCGCATGACAACCAACATAATAAACATTTACATCAGTAATACCAAATAGCTAATATATAGTTCGTTTTAATCTGAAGTCCATTGAGACTAAACAGTTAACCATATTTATAAATGAGTTTGTATGCACGTAACATTAAACAGCTGCTGATGGTTGTAAGTATGTGGTAACACTTTGATGCACTTAAAGCAACATCATGCTGTGTGACAGTGCATTTTGTGTTATCGCTTTTTATTATCTATGTAGTCCTACAGTTCAAATGAGTGATTGGCGATAAATTGATATCTCTAGTTGAACATAGACAGAGACCTACGCGTTGTTTTACAGGAGTAATCTCAACATGATCCTGTTAATTGTCTTAAGCTTGTGTTGTGTTTTGTCAACACCAGTTTTAGGTAAGTTTGAATTCTATTGAATTATACTCACATGTGTTGAAAATAAAATTGAAATTAAAAATAAGCATTTTTTTTTTACACAAAACTATACAACCAGTTTCATGAAATCGATAAAAATAAATTGATTGCATTTATTCACTTAGATTATATCAAGCATTTTGTATTGTAGAAAAGTTTTCTAAAGCGAATGTTATTTGCTCTAAGGACCAAGAGTACAAACATCAAATCCCATTCCTCTTCTAACTTAATTTTCAACTACATTAAATCAAATACGTAGCTTTAAAACGGGACCTAGCTTAATGTTAAATTACCTATTACAGGTACAGTAGTTCGCTTGACCGCTAGCCCTGCGGTTGTTGATCTGGGTCTGACGTCATTGACAGTGCGATGTGACGTCAGCGACAGTAGCCAGAACATCCTGTCAGCTGTTGTAGCCGTCATAGTGTCACGTTCCGCCAACGATTCCAGAAACTACACGGAGCTGGCGTCCTTGAACTTGTTCATGGGTCCCCAGGTGCACGTGCTGACGTCAGAAGCTGTAACAGCCAACGGTTCCATTCACAGCTACGGTCACTCTTTTCTAGAACTGCACTGGGTCAAGCCTACATTAACGCAGGCTGGTCACTACATATGCACAGCTCAAGGACCGGATGAAGTTGGACATAACATCAACATGATAGCCGACGCCTACGTCTCAACCAGACAACCAGGCAGTGACCAGCTCTTGGAAAGAATCCGAGAATTGGATCTCGACTTGAAGCTGGCCAACGACAAACTGGCCCAGTTCAACATGTCACTGGAAAACGTCGCTCATGACGTCACCAACCTGTCAACACGCATTGAAGCGAATCGGCAGGAGATTCTAAACATTGCGGCAGTGAACAACAAACCCATGTGGTTGTTTAGCAGAAACTACGTCGTCGGTAACTACTCCTACTCTGTTTCTAAATACTACTACAGCAACGTTGCCACGGCGGAGACTTTGTGTAATATATACGGCGGTTATCTGGCTGAAATAGACGACGCTGACGAATACAATGTCATCAAGAATTTCCTGAACAATCCCCGAGAAGTAAACTACGTCTACACAGGAGCCTACGACGAAAGCCAGGAGGGTGTGTACAAGTTTAGACACAGCGACTCGCCAGTTTATTTCTACAGGTGGGCGCCTGGTCAACCGAAGAACGGGACCGAGTACAACTGTGTCTACCTGGAATCTAATGTCGACTGGGAGATGACGGTATACAGGTGTCATCTCTATCCGCTGGCTAAAGAGGAGGTCCATGCTTTGTGTGAGTTTCCGTCTAGATTTAAATAATCTGACTCGTTCTGTGATCAAATAAATTAATAAAACATATAGTTAGTACTTTATCATAGTACAAGTAAAATTGTTTATAATGCTCTTTTATCTTATGAGTTATGCAGACTTATAATGTCATGTGTTTGTTAAACAATGGTAACTTGAGGATTAAAATTTCTTTAACTTATTTTGTGACAAGAACGCCCTAAAAATAAATAGCAATACATGTGTAGTCAATCAGACTGTAACATTTTGACCAGCCTAAGATTTATCAAGAGCCGAGTGGATGGTTGGTTTTCAAGTATTACAGGATAAAGACCTACATCTACTTTCATTAAATTGTTACAACCTGTTCTTTTTTTAAAACTTCGTTATTTTGTTTTTAAAACTTTATTTCTGGATAAGTAGTTGAATCAATGTTTTACAGTGTAAATTGCAGTCTATCTTTTTTAAAATTTAAAGCATCACGTAATAATTACAAGAATATATAATTTGTCTTAAAATTGTTGTTTTATTTACGATTTGTGATTATTGAAAATGTACATTGAGTTTTGTCTTGTTTTGCTTAATAATATATCCTGAATTTATGTTGCGTAGTCAATTTGGTTTTCTTTGCTGATTTAATAATATGTTATATTTTTCTTCCTTAAAAATGAATTTGTATGCATGAGGTTTAAACGTGTAATTGCCGTTTTCGATTTAACATTTTTCTTTCCTCTTCTATATATGATTTTATAAACTGTTAATTATATATTTTGTTTTCTTAGAGCTAAATATATGTTTAAATATCACATAGTACTTGTAAGTTACATGTAATTATTGACTTCTTTTATTGGTTAGACTATTCTTTGACATTAGCTTTTTTCGTGTAAAATAATGTATGCAATTGGTAAAAAAAACTATTATGTTATTTATTTTAATATAACCCATTTGATTGAAGATGATCAGTTTAATTAACAGGTAGGTTTTTAGTTGTGCGAACCATATTTTCTATATTATTATTGCAGGCGATATAAAATTGTTTGAATCGTCTGTGCTTTGTTTTGATCATGTAATATAAATGTTGAAACGTTTTAAAACAACTGCATTCTAATGTAACAAGTAATTTGCATAAAATTAATTTTGCGTGAGATAAAAATGATAGTTTCGCCATGTAGTATGTGACACGATAAGTGTTTAATTGAATGTAATAAAATTTTAAAAAATCCGAATAATAGACTCTTATTTTTAACTTAAACTTATTCGTCTATAATACCCAAATGTGATACCTCGGCGTTTATATTAAGCTTTACTATTTTAAGTCGTGTTTGAGAAAAAAAAATATTTTATAAATTTAAGCGCATGAAAATGCATTCATAAAAATAAATTTAAGTATAAACAAATTTTGTTTTAGTCGTTTTTTAACAAAACACTTTTACAATTTAGAATAATACCATTTAAATAGCGCTTTTAAAACTTTTAAATCAACGAAATGCAATTATTTGCAATTAAATGTATCCAATGTTTAGTGTTTTACTGATAATACAGTTATCTAATGGCGTCATCGATTGTGGGTTAAAAATAGAATGAAAAATCGAATGTCGAAAATGATACACAAACTAACGACGTCATCTACAATAAAATTCGCTTCCCACATCTTACAATTTTAGAATATGAAATTAACTATTCTATTTCAATTTCATTTAAATCTATATATTACTTATCAAGACGTAAGCCTACGCTATAAAATGTATACAACTTTCTCGGCCACAAATAATAAAAATAAATTAGTTTAAAAACAACAAAAATACAATTGCATAGCCAGGTTTTTTTAAGGAATCATTTAAGTCAATTAATCAATGTGGGCATTTAATATGGTGTTGTGTTAATATAAATAATGTACGCCTGTGTCATTTTGCTTTAAATTTTCTAATAGGTATTGGAAGTGTATGTTATATTAAACGCGTCGGATTTTGTAGCTGTTTAGTGACTTCTTTGCTTTGTTACTAATATCGTCCAACGTGTGGTAAATCCCATTGTATTTTGATCAATAACTATTTTATAATATATTTCTCAAACAAGTATATAGGCTTATAATTCACATGAAACGAGTACTGATGGCTAGTTATGTATAGAAACGTCAAGCAACAGTTTATTTAAATTCAATTCTTGTAATACAATACGAGACTGTATTCAAAAATAAAATGGGAGAAATAAACATAATAAACTTAACAAATTCTTTAAGTTCATTTCAGTCTTATATTGATGTAACACATACAGCTGCTAACTTTATCGATTTGATTTTTAATTGTTTAATAACCCCGATCCTGTGTGCGTTTGGTATCGTTGGAAATAGTTTAGCAATACTTATTCTTATTCATAATGGACTAAACGAATCAACCAACATAGTTTTAACATTGTTAGCTGTATCGGATCTTTTCTTCTCAATGACACAAATGTGGTACCAGGTTTATCTGACATTCAAACGATTTGAAACCATATCAGGATCTTATATTCTCACATACTTCGTTGTGTATATTTTAGAATGGAACCAGTATGCTATATGTATAAGTGTTCAAATGGTCACTTTAATAAGTGCGGAAAGATTCATTGCTGTTGTGTTTCCTTTTGCTGCCTCTAATTTACTTACAACATTTCGTATCAAGTGCATCGTGGTTGGTATTTTCTTATTCTCAGCTGTATTGTATTTGTCACGATCTTTGATGTACAGGGTTAGATGGAAAACGTATCCAGATTTAAACAACAGTACCGTCCCAGAAGTGGCATACGTATATTTTTAAAATACAAAATGGATTTGTTTGTAATTTACAATACGTGGATAATTTTCACATATGCTGTCATTGTTCCCACTTTTGTTATAGGGGTTTGCACATCTTCAATTATTATAAAGTTAACAATTTCACATAGAAATGTAAAGAATTTTTTCAATGCTGTACCCCACTCTAAAAGAATTAGGGATTTTAAATCCATTAAGTTAACTCTCACAATTTGCTTAATCTTGATTATTTTAGTTTTAATTCCAACGAATACTTATTTTATTATAGCCTAAGTAGCAAATAATTTCTTTACTTTTGATGTTTCAGTGCTTAAGGATAATTTTGTGAATTTTGTTTACCAAATAAATCAACTCGAAAATTATTTTGTAATATACGTAGTAATGATCCCGAAATTTGTAAAACGGTATCGAAACCTAATTGCCTGTGTGTAATAAAATTTGTAAATCAATGTGTTATTGGTATTTCTTCTTCATTTGCATGCATTGTATATTAGCAAACTTCAGTTGTTTTTTTGTTTTTTTTTGTTTTATGAAATATAACTCAACCTGTCAATAAAATAGTTTAAATCAATTCCTCAAGTGCGTGATTTATTCAAAAATGTCAATAATATTAAAGTACGGCGCCGAATGTTTTCCCGATTGAACACTTGCACGAACGCGACAAATGCCCGATCACCAACGCTGTGGGCAAACATGGGGATAATTTTGTCAGATATTTGCTCCCTGTTTTGAGCCAGTTAGTAGTAGACGCGTAGCGAGGGGGGTAGTGGGGGGCGGGGGTGCGGACCGTACCGGGTGCCACCATTTAGGGGGGTGACACCAAGGCAAAAAATAGTAAAATATATAGAGAAAAATGTGATGGGGGGTGTAAATCGAAAGTTTGAGGGAGTGCGAATCGAAAGTTTGAGTGGGGGGGGGGGGGGGGGGGGGGTGCAAATCGAAAGTTTGAGGGGGGTGGGGGGTGTGCAAATCGAAAATTGAAAGTTTGTCCCCGGGAAGAGTCGCTACGCCTATGGGGGGGGGTGACACCATTAAGTGCCGCACCGGGTGACACCCGACCTCCCTACGCCACTAGTTAGTAGCAACGGCTGGGTCGACACAAGGATATCCTCCAAAGCCTGGCAGGCGATCCAAGCTAGATCTTACGTGTTAGCAGTCCTAAGTTCTACCAATCGACCATGCCTCTCCCCCCCCCCCCCCCCCCCACCATTCCCATTCACTCGTCTCACGAATTTAATAGTTAAAATGGTTAAAATAAAAACTCTACAATACTGGATCAGTAAATGAAAAATAATAATCATCAAAACATCATGATAAAAAATCGTGATAATTATGTTTCCTACATGTTTTGGCCTACTTGACTATCATGTCGACTATATCCAAACACTCAACTATGGAAATGGCAGCTGTTTGAAAAAAGAATACTTTTCTTCTTAAGTTTACACATACAAATACATGAGACATTTTTTTTTTAAATCATAAAAGAAACAAATTATCGAAGCTAAACTAATCCAGCATTGACACATTCGTTTCTCTAAAGATCGTCACACTGCAATGAAGAAGCAAACTTATAGTCATAATAATGTTTGCGTAAGATGTTCACAATGCACATAACTTTTATACTTTGAAATATCTCGAAATGGCACGACTTTAACACAGCCTCCTTTTTTAGCTGTTTAATACTTACTTATAAGTGCAAAACATGGTAAAAATATTCAAAAGGCTTTAGATCTTACATTGTAAAATATCGAAATAAACGGAGCACATACCCTTATTCCTCATGCCTAGGTTACATTCATTGAAAAAAATTGACCTAAATTTTACCGCTTTTTAAATGATATCTCTGAGGTTCGTTTACTTCTTGAGATAAACAAAGCGTGCAATTTTTACTTTAGGTGTTGTCCATAAATGAAGTCAGACTTCAAGGTGTTGGGGGGTCGTAATTTTGTGAAAATGCGTGATGCGGGGTAGGGGGGCATCGAGTAGGCCTATATAGTATAGGGTATGTAATTTGTGGTATGTGGTGTAACGTATAGTGTGTTGGTGTATTTCACAGAAACTCTGTATTTAACCAAATGTCCGCGTATGTTTGTTTAGCGAAGGACTGCAGTGAAGCTACTTTGGTCGAATCTTCATTTCGCTTGTCTGCGGTGACGGACATGCTATGCCGTTACTTGGCCAAGCTAAGGGCAAGGTCCAGCGACCATTCAGGTAGCCAGAGAAACAAGTGGGTCCGTAGAACCACCATCCTCCAGCGTGAGTAGTGGCACACATTGGGAAGAAGTTGAAAGGATTGTCCCTGTCGGGGGTGTAGAAAGGCACGCTGTTGTGGACAAGGTACAGCGAGTCTCCAGCATTCCCCGATCCTTTCGTGATGGACAACGTGTACCCACTGGACTCGTCGGATAGCCTGAAGCTGGCGTACGTGTAGTCGTAGTTCCTGAACGTACACTTCAGGTCAACCATCATTTCGTAGTTCTTGCTCGAGGTCATGCAGTACAGGTGTTCGTTCCCCAGGTAGAAATCTCCGTTACTGTAGTCCCCGAAGCCGTACTTGTAGTTGTTCCAGCCCTGGTTAAAACTGACGTCACCGGTGACACGTCTCTGGAAGATGGTCCAGCCCCCGCCGTCTGTCTGTGTGTCACACATGACCACGATGCCAGTCGAGAGCTTGACCAACTGCCTGGGCTGGCTACTGACCACGTCCTTGCATGAGCGGTAAACTTTGGGGTCATCTGGGTTGTAGTTGTTGTCACTGCCTAGAGTGATGTTCATCACTGACATAGGGAACAAAAAGTGAACACATTACAACATGACGATCTAAATTGAAATTGAAATTTTTTATATTCAAAATTTGATGCTATACACAACATCTAAAAGGTAGTCGTTAATGTTCTTTTTGTATAAGGCGAGAGAAAATTACTAAAGCGTTGCGTTAGCTAAGTAGCTTACCAAAACACTCCAATAAATCGCAACGTTAACTTACCAAAACACTCCAGGAAATCGCAAGAGTTGAGGCCCCCGTCAGCCCGTAGCGTCACGTTCTCGTGTGTGTCACAGAACTGACCAGTCGAGTAGATCTTCGTGTCCGGGTTCGGGTTTGTTATGTTGGTCGGTACAAGATAGGAGCCTGGGACAGAACAAAAGCACAGTCAAGTGGGACAGAACAATAGCACAGTCAAGTGGGACAAAAGCACAGTCAAGTGGGACAGAACAATAGCACAGTCAAGTGGGACAAAAGCACAGTCAAGTGGGACAAAACAAAAGCACATTCAAGTGGGACAAAACAAAAGCACATTCAAGTGGGACAATAGCACAGTCAAGTGGGACAGAACAATAGCACATTCAAGTGGGACAAAACAAAAGCACATTCAAGTGGGACAATAGCACAGTCAAGTGGGACAATAGCACAGTCAAGTGGGACAATAGCACATTCAAGTGGGACAAAACAAAAGCACATTCAAGTGGGACAATAGCACAGTCAAGTGGGACAATAGCACAGTCAAGTGGGACAAAACAAAAGCACATTCAAGTGGGACAAAACAAAAGCACATTCAAGTGGGACAATAGCACAGTCAAGTGGGACAAAACAAAAGCACATTCAAGTGGGACAAAACAAAAGCACATTCAAGTGGGACAATAGCACAGTCAAGTGGGACAAAACAAAAGCACATTCAAGTGGGACAAAACAAAAGCACATTCAAGTGGGACAAAACAAAAGCACATTCAAGTGGGACAAAACAAAAGCACATTCAAGTGGGACAAAACAAAAGCACATTCAAGTGGGACAATAGCACAGTCAAGTAGAAAGAACAAAAGCACAGTCAATAACCAATTATTAAAGTATTTAACATGAAAAATAATAAAGTAAGCAAATAAAAAATTAAACCACAAAAAGTGGCCGACCTAGAAAAAATGGCTCCCCCGCAAAAAAAAAATTAAAAAAAATAAATAAATCGGGCTTCAATTTCGGTCTTCGACAACTTCCTTGAAAAGACTTGACCCAATACCGTTTGCCCGAATGAACATTTTTCCCGAATGCGATAAATGCATCAAATAAACCTCTGCCAGAAAGCCCCAAAATGCAACTTGCATGAATGCCAATTGTCCTTTAAAAGGTTAGTTATGGGCTCCTATTCGACTGCTGTTGGCTATTTTATTGAGTGTTATGGACCCCAATTAGACGTTTGAATTGATTGTTATGGGCTAAGCTAATGGTCTATTTAAAGGAGAATTATGAGCTCCTATTGGGCTATTTAAAAAAAATAAAAATAAAAAATTGTCATTCTTAAGTCCACCCAGTTCTGATGGGTACTTGGCTTAACGTTGGGGAAATGAAAGGCGGCTGGGTATAGTGATTCATATTCCTTGTTGAGGTCAAGTAACCAAAGACATCTGCCCATTTCATCACTACGTCTAAAGATGAACTATACTTTTATAATTTACTGACGGATTTGGGCACCCTAAACGCAGTCCTCCCCCCACCCGACCAGGTCATTGCGGGTGTCTTGCGGTAGTTCCGCCCTTTTTCTAGCAACAATTCAATACCATTCAAGAACCATACACCATAGGAGTTACTTTGTACATACAAACAGTAAACTTAACAACATAACAATCACATTACACACACCCATAAAGATAATTTCGTCTTTACAAAGACAAAAGAATAATAAAAGCAGCTATACACACGAACATACACCACACAAGATCGTATATAACTACAGACACAAAACTCGAAATTTAACTCACATATACTCATGCACTGTTACACCAACTTTAGATACATGCTCAGAAATAGTTACAATAACAATCTAACAGTTATTTCATACGCACTAAAAAAAATATATGTCTAGCGAAATGTAAGCAATACATTTTTTTTCCCAGTATCTGTTTAACAAAGACATTGTAAATATTATTTTCTTTTGCTTTCATAAGAAGAATAATGCATAGCTTTGTAGTAGCAATGATTACGTCAGAGCAAGGTACTCAACATGCAGAACTGTAGATGTATTGCCGCTATCATTAGGCCAGAACAGGGTACTCAACATGCAGAACTGTAGATGTATTGCCGCAATCATTTGACCAGAACAAGGTACTCAACATGCAGAACTGTAGATGTATTGCCGCAATCATTTGACCAGAACAAGGTACAACGCAGAACTGTAGATGTATTGCCGCAATCATTTGATCAGAACAAGGTACTCAACATGCAGAACTGTAGATGTATTGCCGCAATTATTTGATCAGAACAAGGTACTCAACATGCAGAACTGTAGATGTATTGCCGCAATCATTTGACCAGAACAAGGTACAACGCAGAACTGTAGATGTATTGCCGCAATCATTTGACCAGAACAAGGTACACAACATGCAGAACTGTAGATGTATTGCCGCAATCATTAGGCCAGAACAAGGTACACAACATGCAGAACTGTAGATGTATTGCCGCAATCATTAGGCCAGAACAAGGTACACAACATGCAGAACTGTAGATGTATTGCCGCAATCATTAGGCCAGAACAAGGTACTCAACATGCAGAACTGTAGATGTATTGCCTCGCTGACATATACTTCAACTCACTACCCCACAGACGATGGGTCCTAGATCGATCCAGCCCTAAGTGGATTTTCTCATCCATGGATGTTATCTTTTATAAAACCGTTTGTTGAACTTGAGGATAAACTTAACCCAGGTAAAGTAGGCCAGTGTGTTCCTGACCTGAAGGTCAATGGAGCGAGCAGAACATGCAGTGCTCGTTGTGTTTAGGACATTTTTAGGACATTAAATTAATTAGAGTTGTCTCAAGTGTATGTAGGTCACGAGACGAAGGCCGAGTCGACTCACAAGTAACCAAAATACGACACATAATCTGTTTATACCCATTGACAATTATGAAATTCTACAGTAGAAGCTTCGGTGAAAGTAAAACAAGAACACACACATCGAGGAAAAATTCCTTGAGGCTTACGTGAACCCATAGCACTTACCCAGGTAACATTCCCTCAAGACCCCCGTTCCACGAAAACCTATAGAACAACTTACCTAGGTAACGTTACCCAGGTAACTGACTCAGGTAACATTCCCTTAACACCTTGTTGTACGTGAACCCATAACACAACTTACCCAGGTAACTTACCCAGGTAACTTACCCAGGTAACATTCCTTCAAGACCTTGTTTTACGTGAACCCATAACACAACTTACTCAGGTAACTTACCCAGGTAACATTTCTTCAAGACCTTGTTTTACGTGAACCCATAACACAACTTACCCAGGTAACTTACCCAGGTAATATTCCTTCAAGACCTTGTTTTACGTGAACCCATAACACAACTTACCCAGGTAACTTACCCAGGTAATATTCCTTCAAGACCTTGTTTTACGTGAACCCATAACACAACTTACCCAGGTAACTTACCCAGGTAATATTCCTTCAAGACCTTGTTTTACGTGAACCCATAGCATAGCTTACCCAGGTAACTTACCGAGGTAACATTCCCTCAATATCCCCGTTCCACATAAACCAATAGAAAACTTACCTAGGTAACTTACCCAGGTAACATTCCTTCAACACCTTGTTGTATGTGAACCCATAACACAACTTACCCAGGTGACTTACCCAGGTAACTTACCCAGGTAACTTACCCAGGTAACTTACCCAGGTAACTTACCCAGGTAACTTACCCAGGTAACTTACCCAGGTAACTTACCCAGGTAACATTCCCTCAACACCTTGTTGTATGTGAACCCATAACACAACTTACCCAGGTAACGTATCTAGGTAACTTACCCAGGTAACTTACCCAGGTAACTTACCCAGGTAACTTACCCAGGTAACATTCCCTCAACACCTTGTTGTATGTGAACCCATAACACAACTTACCCAGGTAACTTACCCAGGTAACTTACCCAGGTAACTTACTCAGGTAACTTACCCAGGTAACATTCCCTCAACACCTTATTGTACGTGAACCCATAACACAACTTGTCTGAGAGTGAGCACTTGGTAGAACACGTGACCAGGGAGGCGGCATCAATTTTTGCCGAGAAGATGAGCAGCATAAGTTTACTGGAATCTTGTTTCCTGTAGGTCGTTTCTTTAGCATCTGCTGGCTTAAGCTCTGTGCATGAAATAATACACCAATGGTAGAACACATGTATCGTCGATAAACCAGTGTTAGTACACATATAAGTAGATAAGTAGATAAATAAACATGTGGTAGTACACATTAAACGTAGATAAACCAGTGTTCGTACACATATAAGTAGATAAGTAGATAAATAAACATGTGGTAGTACACATTAAACGTAGATAAACCAGTGGTAGTACACATGTAAAGTAGATAAGTAGATAAACATGTAACGTAGATAAATAAATTAGTGGTATTAGACGCATAATGAAATTAAACGTATATGCATATTTTGCTCGAGGGACAACGTACTTTAATTTAGCGACTGAAATACGTGCAAGAAGCTGCGGATCCTTTATAAAATAACCCCAGAGAGAAGGCCTATTTCTTTTAATAAAAAAATTTCAGACTTAATTCTTCCTTCAAGAAATGATCAGATATTTTTCCTGATGTATTTACTCCGTAAAAGGGCCCGCCTTTTGAGGTCCGTGTCAATACGAACAAAAAAAATATCAGCGACAAAATGGGTTCTGATAAAGATTTCTAATGATAGAAGCTCTCTAGTTAATAAAACTTTTCATTAAAACCAGCTACCATCAGCTTGTTATACAGCAAAAGACCCCACTCATTAGGGCTTGGGCTCCTGATGAAAAT